AATTGAAAAAAGGCCATTATGGGCTTTTTTCAGCCCCCACTACCCCCTTAAACTCTAAGAAAATTAAAACACATTTCACAACCAAACCACCCACCACAAAATAAAAACAACAAGACTTATTTTAAGTAAATTCTATTTTGTTTTCTGACAAATGATCTAAATATAAAAAAATAAAATACCCCCTTACCCCCCCCTACACTTGGCAAACTAGGTGTCGCTTATCAACTTCGTTGCTTCACTTGCTGGAGCTGGTGGTATACAAGCCTTCAAGACTATGCGAACGTTAAGAGCACTGAGACCACTACGTGCCATGTCCCGTATGCAGGGCATGAGGGTACGTACTTTCTTTACACATCCCATAACATTTTCAGTATTCAAATTTTTTGTTAAACCAAAAAAAAAAAAAAAATCAACAACGATTTTCACCAGGCCTTATTTTTTTAAAAATCAAAAAAAAAACATAATTTTATTTTTTTACCAAACCACCATATTTTTTATAATAAATAAAAACGTAGTAACTTCAACAGAAAACACCCCTCAAAAAATATACATTTTTTTATAAATCATATAATTCAAATATCATAACCTCAAAACCAAACAGCATTTAGCTTTTAGTAAACAAAAATTACATCAATTTTTATTATCATATAAATATTTTTTCGAATTAGTATTAGTCCTTCAGCCTTCATTAAGAAAAAGTTTTGTCACGTGTTTTTTTTTTTAGTTTTTGAATTAACCCCCATTTGAAAAAAAAAATATTAGAAATTTTCTTAGAATTTTAGAACATTTTTGCAGCCAAATGTCTTAATTTTTCGACCATTATCACCTTTTTAAATTAGTTAAATGAATGACTATCATTTTGAATGCCTTTTAATATTTTTTTGGAAATGAACATTAGATTAGTTTTGAAAATTTTACAAATAAACCACACGCCTAAATCACAAACAAATCATAAATAGCCCCAAAAAAATACAAAATTATCCCATGGACATAAACATTTCATATCACCACAAAATCGAAACAAAAAGGAAGTACTTTATAAAATAAAAAAAAATAATTATATTTTTTCAGAAAGGTACAAATGTCAATTATTAAGCGGAATTGAACTTTTCTGAAACCAAAAAAATATTTCACACAAAATATACGAGGATTTAATTTTTTATTCATAAATAAATTTACCATAAATATATCGTAGACAAATAATAGCTTTCCTTGAACATTCGAATTTCATCTGTTTTTAAAGTTCCCAAATCAAAACGCGAAATAAAAATTTGGCGTTTTTTCCCGAAAATCGCACAATTGGCAACACTGTCATATTAAAATAAAGATTTACACTTAACAACAACTCAACTCCACAAAAACTTCCTCATAATGGTGTAAACACGTCATATAATGAGTTTCATTGAAAAGTGTAGCATACTTTCAGGAGTCAATACTAACTCCCCCTACAAAGATGACAATTCACAATCGTTTAGTAACACTTTAACTCAACTGCAACATAACTCACACTATTGGGGTGTAAGTCATAACTAAAAATGACTTCATTACAATGTGTAGCATTCATTTCTGAATGAGATGTAGGTGGAATTGAGGAACAAAAATTCACCAAACATTTAAGCGACTCGGCGGCAGATGGGACGTTTATGGGGTTTATGTCTAAAAAAATAGAGATGAGGTACGTAAGACACTGCGATGTCGCTATCCCAGAACCTCAAATGGCCTTAAGGATGTGGAAAAAATTGGAAAAAATTTAGAAAAATAGATGGATGAATTTTCCATGCAATTGAAGACAAATGCGAACAGAACTAATACATAAATATTTATACTTAGGTGTTGCTAATGCGAAAACTGGTAGTCAACAATTGAACGTACGGTATAATCAATGGCCAAATGAGGTTTCTACGCTCAAATATATTGTAAAATTCAATACAAAAAAAAATATATTAATTTCAGCCAAGTCAGTTTGACAATTTGAAGTGAAATTTGTTGAGTTCTTCTTCAGAATGGCCTCAATCAACGGTCTTCTTGGAAATCGTTGACATTTCATTCGTTTTCCTCTCTCTTCTTTCTGGGTGATTCTCCCTCGCTGTCCTTAGTGAGAGCATACTCCTCTCTGATCTTCGCCTTCCCAATTTTGAAGAGGATAGCATTGAAATACACCTTTTGAAAGTCATATCTCAGCCTAACACCTCCAACAGGAAATCGGTGATATTCCCTACGTTTCCATGCAAGTAAAGGCAAATTTGTTGGGTTCATCTTCCTCTCTTAAAGTTCTTTTTTCGATGCTTCTTGGAGGTATATCTGAATCAACGATATTTTTGGGCGACAATGATATTCTCTTCGTTTCCCTCTTTTTTTTCTTGCTGGGTGCTGCTCCCTCCCTACCTAGTGAAAGCCCGTCTCTCTCTTCTCTGCCGAATCTTCAAAAGACAGCCTCTTTGTCAGATTTTGTCTTGGCCTCAATTAACGGTGTTCTTGTGGGAGTCGGTGCTATTCCCTTCTCTCTCTCTTTTCTTTCTAAGTATTTCTCCCCGCAAATCTTCACCTTTCCAATCTTTAAAGAAACAGCATTGAACACATACCAGATACTTGTCTTGACTGGATTTTCCATTGAAGATATATCGATGCCTACCACAAGGAGAATGGCCTGAATGGTCCTCTTGTGAGTGGATGATATTCCCTTCCTCTTTCATCTCTCTTCCCCGACGTTTGATTTCCCATTCTTGAAGAAGACAGCATTGAAGTACGTCTCTCTTCCATAAAAGACATATCTTTGTCTACCATCTCTCTTCCCCGACCTTTTACCTCCCATTCTTGAAGAAGACAGTATTGAAGTACGACTATTTTCCATAAAAGACACATCTTTGTCTACCATCTCAATCAAGGGTCCTTTTGGGTGTCGATGATATTTCTTTCTTATCACTCTGGGTGTTTCTCCCTTGCTGTTCTTAGAGAGGGTCTGCCCTTCACCAATCTTTGTCTTCCTAACCTTGAAGAAAACATCATCGAAGCCAAGTTTTCCATGAAAGAAGGTTTCCATGTCTTCCTTCTACCTCAATTAACAATCTTTTTGTTGGAGTCGATAATATTCCCTTTGGTTCCCTTTCTTTTCTTCTTAGGTGTTACTCCCTCGCAGTTCTTAGTGAAGGCGCGTTCCTCTCTTCTTCAAGGCTTCTATGCTCGTTGACAAATCAAACTGAGTCATCAATATTCTTTCCGGTTCCCTCTGATCTTTGCCTTTCCAATCTTGAAGAAGACAGCATTGAACACATTTCACTCTTGTCTTGACCAGATCTTTCGTGGAAGACTTATCTAAGCCTAGCACAAAGAGAACATCTTCTTCGTTCTCCGACCTACGGATAGTTGTCTTCTGAGAAATGTCCTGCTTAATAAGCTTCGTAGGGTGCTCACGACTTTTTTTGTGACGCTCGTTGACGAATCTTTCGATCTTAAAAACCGATCCAACATCTATTTGTCAATATTCGCGCCCTTTGGGCCACCAATGGGTAAGATAATTGTTCCTCGCCATTATTTTATGTAATATATCGTGCAGTTCGATTTTTCCTTTGTGGATTCCCTGTGATCAAGCCCCTTTTCGAGGGTGTGATCAAACCCCTTAACTAAACTAGTTCTTTAGATTTTTCGTTAAACAATTTCTATCAGCTTTTTTTAATTTCAGGAAATCTTAAATTTCTTTGTGCTGTAATTAATTGACTTCCAATAAGAGACAATTCTGAAGTTTCCAAGACTCAGTCTTACTCCATTCTAGAATATTTCAACATAATTATTATGAACTATTTTAAAAAGTTTTTCGAAGTGAATGTGACTTCTATTCAGCATTTATAGCAAAAACATATTTAGTTATTGACATTTGACCTACGTAATTATTTGCCACAATCTGACCAACAAAGTTTTAAAATTATATCACTCTAAAATACTTCCTCTACAAATTTTTTTCCAACACTCTCAAAAACCAAAAAATCGATACAGAAAGAAAACATTTACACCAATGCCAACATTTTTTTGTACGTTACCTAGCTAAGTTGTAAGTTTAATTTTTGTTTCATTATTTTTTTTATATTGTTGTTTATATTCATTTTGTGTATTTTAGAATTTTATGACATTTTGTAAAAATATAGAAAATTTATTTTACATAACAAAAAAATCAATCACCAGGAAATGCCAAATCAGAAACCCAAAACAAAAAATGAATCAGAACAAAAATCATATATCACATCATATTATGTTGTAGTGAAATTATTGATTTAAATTAAATTTTAAGTACATATTTATGGTAGTTAGTTATTTATAGTTATCATAAAAATCGTAAAAAATATTTAAAGAAACCAAAAATCATTTATCTTTTTATTTCTGTTTTGAAATGTAAAATATTGTAAAAAAATTTGCTGTGTAAATAGCTTTAAGCCTCTAACCTCTAATCTCAGCTTCATATTATGTTAATGCTTTGTAACTATGCATTTGACTATGTGTGTGTAATATTTGTAATGCATGTTTAGTGTGTACAGTACTTTAGGGTTATAAAAATCGATTTTTTGCTTTGTTTTAATTTATTGCCCCACATTGGGCGCCATTTATAAATGTGACATAAAATACCACAAAAATCGATTTTTATTTCATTTTCTTGTATAAATATAACAATCTTACTAACTTTTCACCTCATCATCCATAGAGATTTAGTTAATTTCTAAAATATGAAAACTTTTCTCTTTTCACAAAAAACTGAAAACACTTTTTAAAACAAATATATTTATCAAACTTTATTGACATATATTAAAATGTAAAAATTCTGATTTTATTTATTTCCTTTCCCAAAAAATCAACAACATTCCACTCATGATTCCAACTTCATATTGCAAAAAAAAATCAAATCACAATACCCTCCAACTGCAAAACTGGCGCAACAACTCCTCATCTAATCAATCCAACAAAAACTTGTAAATCACTTTCACATCCCCAAAAATACAAATATCAACCCAAAGGTTGTCGTGAATGCGCTGGTTCAAGCTATACCGTCCATCTTCAATGTGCTATTGGTGTGTCTGATATTTTGGCTTATTTTTGCCATTATGGGAGTACAGCTTTTTGCTGGAAAATATTTTAAGGTACGTTATCAAAAAACAAAAAAAAACTTTTTGATTGTTACACCCAAGAAAAAATCACAGTAATTCAATCAAAAGGTTACCACAAAACAAAAAAATTCTGAATTTATTTTGAAAATTTATACTACAGAGCAGTTAAAAATTAGCATTTGCAATATCTGGCATTCAATTTGCCTCAAAAAAGAGAATTTTAACTTTAATGTGAAATGAAAAAAAAATTGAATACGATAATTTAAAGCGTATCTTTGCATCTATTTTTCGTAAATAGTTGATAAAAAAAAGTGGTATTTAAGTTTTATGATCATTGTCCTCTTTTGGGGTCATGTAATAAACTTAATACCTGCCTAGTTAAAGAGAACAAATAAAAATAATAAATAAATATATATATAAATAATGAAATAGTATATAGAATTAGTATACAATATTGCAAATATGCTACAACATTGGAATTGAAAGCTGCAGAGTATCCTTTCGGATCAATTTTTAATTTTAATGAGAAAAAATAAACTGGATTTTGAATTTTTACTGCAAAAAGTCCATATGTAAATATTTTTAGCTATACTGTAATCTTGAGTCAACATTTAGTGTGTACAGTACTTTAGGGTTATAAAAATCGATTTTGGTATGGTATGGTTTAATTTATTGCCCCACGTTGGGCGCCATTTATAAATCTAACATAAAATGACAAAAAATAAATTTTAATAAGTGAAATAAAATAAATTTTTATTTCACTTATTTTTAAAATTAATAGGTGACCCTGAGGTCTGAAATAAATAGGTGGGATTTTTTTGCCGATCCGGAATTTATATTAGCGTAGTATTAAAGCCTTCAACAAATATTGACCAAAGAGAATATGTGAAGATTCTCAGGATTGTGAGGTTTTAGCTAAAATCACAAAAAAGTGTAAAGGCTTTGAAGATTCTTACCAAGAATCCAGAATTTAAATCAATTCACTCTAAACTAGATTTTATGAAGAGCAAAGATTTTATTTGAAGATATTTTAATTATTGTAGGATTTTATTTTATTTGTAGGGTTTTGAAAATTGTTTGTCTACTTCAGGAAATAACCTAAACCTGAAATGGCTTACTATACCTTGCCAGCCTTATGTATTCTACATAGCTAATAATATTTCTTGACCAAGAAGATTAGTCTAGAAGAATTTCGAACTCCAGAGGTAAAAAATTAATTCAAAAGTAGGGTCAGAAGTTACTTCATACTAAGGAAGAGGCCAGGATTTAAGAACCCTAGAGAAAACTGTTGATGAAAAATTGGTGTCAGAAGCTTTACGAAAAACAAAAATTATAAATGAGAAGATTTTTATTAAAAGGGTTCATTTGTTGGGGGTTTGAAACTTTTTTTACTACTTCAGCAAAAAATCAAACCTGAAATGTCTCACTATACCTCAACAGACTTATATATCCTACAGGGAAAATAATACTTCTTTAGCAAGAAGATTAGTCTAGGAGTATTTTCGAAATCCAGAGATTTTAAAGGTGATGCAAAAGTAGGATCAGAAGTTACTTCCTACTAAGGAAGAGGCCAGGATTTAAGAACTCTAAAGAAAAAATGTGATGTAAAAGTAGAGACAGAAGCTCATTCCTAATAAGGAAGAGACCGGGTCATTAACATTGTATTTTTTCGAATACATCCACTGCATTCAAAATTCTTATTGTCTAAAATCTAACCCAGCTAACTGAAGGACTGCGGGAGACAAATTATTGTTCAGATTTCCTTCGTTTGCTGGGATAGAAATCGGAATCTGAAAATTTGAAGCTACCAGATGCTTTCGAAAAAATAAGTAATATTAAAGGTCTAGAAGGAAAGGAAAACTGGTCTTGAGGAAAATATTCCGAAGGTGTCGTAAAATGTCAATTTTTATAATTTTAAACTTCCGGAGAGAAACTAGTCTTCACTTCCTGAAAACTGATTCCTATAAAATATTTAAGTTCAAAAGGAATGGCTGGGGATGGCGTCAGCCACAGGAAAATGGCGGGACAAAATAAGCAAGGAACCCAACCATTGACCATTCAATTCAAGAAGACGTCGATTCTAGGCAACGATAGATGGCAGTCACGGCACTTTGAAATGGCTACTGCAGATCAATAGGAATTAAAGCAATAAAACCGGATAATTTAAGTCCACTGGATGTATACGAGAAAACAATATTTTGCGGTCAAAGTCCAGAAGAATATTGAGTTTAAAATTCCACTACTCTTGGACTTCCCTTTTCGAAGATTAAAAACTATTTTCCGGAAATATTTCGAAGGTTTCGTAAAATTGCAATTTTTTACAATTCTTCTATTTACGTAGAGAGAGAGTAGTCAGTAGCCGTATTCGGAAAAATTGATTTCAAGATTTAGGTTCAATACAAATAGCAGGAGATAGCGCCACCTTAAGGAAAATGACAGAACTAAAGTAGCAAGGAACTCAACCACTGCACAAAATTCATGGAGACGTTTTTTCTATGTAACGATAGATGGCAGTCGCAACACTTAGAGCAGGCTACAGCAAATCAATAGGAATAAAAACAAAAAAACCGGATAATTTAAATCCACTGGATGTATACGAGAAAACAATATGTTGCCGACAAAGTTAAATATTCCACTTCTCTTGGACTTCCCTTTTTTCGACATTTTTATGATAGCAATAAAAAACAGTGTCATAGAGAAAAATTTAACCACAGCACAAAATTCGAAAATATTTCAATAGGAATAAAAACAATAAAACCGGAAGGTGTAAAAGGCTAGAAGGATATTAGGTTAAAATTGCAATTTTTACGTAAAATTGCAATTTTTACGATTTTCCTATTTCCGTATAGAGAGTAGTCGCCACTTGCTGAAAAATAGATTCTATGATTTTTTTTTAGGTTCAATAGGAATGGCAGGAGATGGCGCCACCCAAAGGAAAATGGCAAGGCTAAATTAGCAAGGAACCCAACCACTGGTTCAAATCGGCATTGTTTCAGTCTTATCTGAATCGATGGGTATTTTTGGGGTATTTTTTCCACTAAGCTTAATATAAATATTACTACGGAAAATCCGCGAATATCTGCATTTTCTATCCTATTGGATTCTCTTAAATTCTATGCCATTTAATTGTGCTAAAATTTGCATTTAATTGTTTTCGAATCAGAACTTCCGATAATCTTTCTTTTTCGAATCAGAGTTTCCGAAAATCTTTCGTCTACTGTTTTTGTATCTTAATTTGGTACGAATCATTATTATTTCTGTCTAACCTTAATTAATAAGGGGTTTCTTTGGGTATTTTTCCATCTAAGCTTCATATGAAGGGTATTACGAAAAATCCACAAATGGCATCCCAAGGTGATGTAGAGCTGAAATATTCATCCAACTACAACCAACTTCACGTGGAACGAAGAATAACTGCTGTGAGGTGGGATTATTATTAATTACCTAAAACCACAGCATACTTTAAGGTGTTCACAAAATCGACCATAATTATTTTGTCAAATGGTGAATAAAAATAGAGTTGAAAATTGAAAGAGAGGTTTTTGAAATCTTATGATATTACTGCTTAAAAAAAGGTGGGCATACATTTAGGCTGCTTATTAATTTTGTTATCGTAGTAATTTTACATAGAATTGCAGACGAAGAAATTTGATTTTGGAATCTGAACAGGGTAATCATTCCTGACTTGGATTCGTCCATGGAATTACGACCTGGGAACATGTAGTAGTCTTATGAAACTGTAGAAGAAATGTGAACTAAAAATATTTACTAAAGGGAATATTTTCTCTACAGAGCCTAAGGGTCCCTTGAAACCCGAAGAAAATATGGTTATATTTTTTAGGAATATCTGTTCATAAAAATAAGAATCATTTTCCGAATTGTAAATATTTATTTAGCTTAAACAAAAATTCCAATGTTGTGGCGTATTGAAAAATATATATAAATATATTTATGTATATTTTAGAAAAAATATTAGCTTTTATATAACTCATTAAAAATGAGTCAATTTTTTATTTAAAAAAATCAAATTAGCAAGAAAAAAACGCTCGCCTTAGCTTTTTTAGATATTTCTTAGAAGAAAAAACAGAGCGATGCACAATGTACAGAAAAAAATATTCAAGAAAATAAATCTCAACTCCTTAGAGTGGAGAATATAGAATTATGCTAATATAGCTGCTTTATAGCTTTATACGAATTTATTTTTTTTTTTTTTTTTTTTTTGTATAAAAAATATATATTTTTATATTATATATGTATATATAAAAAAATAATGGGTAACTATTGTACATTTCTTATCAAAGAAGATGTATGATATTTTTGTATTTTTCCAAAAAATATATTTCAATTAATGTTTTTTATCTTTTCCATGAAATCGAAAAAAATACTTTTCTTTAAAAAAAACACACACACAGTGCAAAGATGGTAATGACACTGTGCTAAGTCATGAAATTATACCAAATCGTAATGCCTGCAAAAGTGAAAACTACACCTGGGAAAATTCCGCAATGAACTTCGATCATGTAGGTAATGCGTATCTCTGTCTATTTCAAGTGGCCACCTTTAAAGGCTGGATCCAGATTATGAATGATGCCATTGATTCACGTGAGGTAAACTATTGTAACAGCCAATATTATAATTTTGCATTAACGAAAAAAACACTTAGAAATATATAGTAGTTTTTGAAAACACTGAATTTTTTATTTGAATTATTTTTTTTTTAATGAAAAGATAATGAAAAACCAAAACACAACAATACTAATAATAATTTTTTCTATTTTTTACCTTTTTCTTATTCCTAATATGACATGAAAAATAATAATAATATCAACCAAAAAAAAACTACCATTCATCAAATCGAAAACATATCATCATACAAAATCACCCGAACAAAACTTGTCCAACCAACAACAATTTTTTCTGGAAAACAAAATCGTAACCCCCAACACCAACATTTCAATACTCCCCACACTTATCTACAAAAAACAACAACAACAACACACTCCAAACAACAATTTTGAAATTTGGATAATCCCCAAAAAAAAAAAACCAAAACACAGGTGGACAAGCAGCCGATTCGCGAAACAAATATCTACATGTATTTATATTTCGTATTCTTCATTATATTTGGATCATTTTTCACACTCAATCTGTTCATTGGTGTTATCATTGATAATTTTAATGAACAAAAGAAGAAAGCAGGTGGATCATTAGAAATGTTCATGACAGAAGATCAGAAAAAGTACTATAATGCTATGAAAAAGATGGGCTCTAAAAAACCATTAAAAGCCATTCCAAGACCGAGGGTAAGGCTTCGAATTTGAATCAACCCTAACTTAAATAACTAACTAACAAACCAAAAACCAAAAAAAAACTAACCAAATAATAAAAAAAAATCCAAATAAACGAAAAAAATAATAAACTAACACACACAAAATGCAAAAAATTAGCAAAGAAAAAAACAAAATTTAAAAAATCTGTGCCAATTTCCAAAACTTGTAAAAAACTAATTATTGATTAGGAACCCATAAAACAAAACAAGAAAATCCCTACTCTCTATTTTTTCAAATATGTGTGTGTTGTGTGTGAGTGGGGCCCAAAAATATAGCCAAAACCCCCTTAAAAAAAGTAACACTCCCCAAAAACAAATGCCAAACTGCCACAAAACTCCATTCTCTCTTAAACAACTATTTCTCTCTTTCTCTATGAAAAAAAAAAGAAAAATTCTACACAAAGTTCGTTCCACAACTGTTCTCAAAACCCTACAACAACAAACCAAAAAAAATAAATCCAACAAAACAAAGGTTGTCTGTTATTTGAATATTTTTATGTCTGCCATTTGAATATTTTCAAATGTTTCTGAAAACAACAACAAAAATGCGTACAAATTCAAAAAAAAACCAAAACAAAAGAAAAATCGTTTCTCTTTTTTATTCTCAAACGATTGAAAAATTTTTAAACTTAACAATAGCCACTTGTATGCAATGTGTATGAATTTTTTCTACTACTACTACTTCTCAATTATATATATCAACATAAAAATATATATCAAACAAAAAATGGCATGTTTTCAAATCATAAATATATTTTTTTCAATTTTTCTTACAATACTCAAAACAGACAAATTTGTATTTTTCAAAAAAAAAAAGAAACTCTTTCTAAGAAAATCCATTGGCAAGCGAACGATAAACACACACGATTTTTTCTCAAATAAAGCATGTCAATGCATGTCTTTCTAAACTAAAAAAAAAAAATACAGAAAATAATAACCCCTCAGAAATCAAAAAAACACCAACCACACTTTCACCGCAACCCAACCTTACCTTACAAATGAAAAAAAAATACCTTCCCCCTCTCAACTCAAGGAATGCTAACTAAATATTCTCCAAATAAAACATAGAATGATATAGAAATATTCCAATATTTTTATTTTATTTTCCTAACTATAGCACCCATTATATATATAAAAATATTGTATATAATACATACTACTCAGATTTTGGCATACAGTGTTGTAACAGGTTGTTATAATTCGTTGTAGATGATTTACTGATAGTAGGTGAAATATGGGAATACTTACAACTTTGTAGATTATTTGTTTATAGTAGGTGAAATATGGGATTACTTATTTCATAATAGGCAGCATATTACAGAATATCGTCTGTTATAGGTTAAATATGGGAACTTGTATTTGATTATAGGTGAAATATGGGAACACTTACAATTTTCTAGATAACTTACTGATAGTAGATGAAATATGGGATTACTTATTTTATAGCAGGCAAAATATGGGATATCGTCTGATACAGTAGGTCAAATATGGGAACTCTTTTTTAACAGTAAGTGAAATATGGGAACACGGACAATTTTGTAGATTTTTTACTGATAGTAGGTGAAATATGGGAACTCTTACAATTTTTTAGATGATTTACCGATAGTAGATGAAATATGGGTTTACTTATTTAATAGTAGGCAAAATATGGGATACAGTAGGTTAAATATGGGAATTTTGTAATAGTAGGTGAAATATGAGAACACTTAAAATTTTGTAGGTGGTTTACTGATAGTAGGTGAAATATTGGAACACTGACAATTTTGTAGATGATTTACTAATAGGCAAAATATGGGATATACAATTTTGTATGTAACTTAAATATAATAATTCATATTTAACAGTAGGTGAAATATGGGAATACTTAAAAATTTTTAGATGAACCATTGATAGTAGTTGGAATATGGGATTATTTATTTTTTAATAGGTAAAATATAGGAACAATAGGTTAAATAGGAGTTCCCTTATTTAATAGTAGGTGAATTATGGGAACATTAAAATGATTGTGAATGATTTGCTGATAGTAGATGAAGTGTGGGATTACTTATTTAACGGTAGGCAAGGTATGGGAAATCGTCTGTAACAGTAGGTGAAATATGGGAACTCTTATTTAACAGTAGGTGAAATATGGGAACACTTACTATTTTGTAGATGATTTACTGATAGTAGGTGAAATGTGGGATTATTTATTAAATATCATCTGCGACAGTAGGTTAAATATGAGATCTCTTATTTAACAGTAGGTGATATATGGGAAAACTTACAACTTTGTTGATGATTTATTAATGGTAGGTGAAATATTGGATTACTTATTTAGTAGTAGGCAAAATATGGGATATCGTCGGATATAGTAGGTTAAATATGGGAACTCTTAGTTAATAGTAGGTGAAATATGAGAACACTTACAGTTTTGTAGATGATTCATTGGAAGTAGTTGAAATATGTGATTACTTATTTAATAGTAGGCAAAATATGGGATATCGTCTATTACTGTAGATCAAATATGGGAACTCTTATTTCATAATAGGTGAAATATGGGAACACTAACAAATTTTTAGATGATTTACTGATAGTAGGTGAAATATGGTATTACTTATTTAATCGTGCGACAGGCAAAATAATGGGATATGGGAACACTTACAATTTTGTAAATTATAAATATTCCATTATTTATTCAATAGTAGGCAAAATATGGGATATCGTCTGTGACAGTAGACGAAATATGGGAACTCTTATTTAATACTAGGTGAAATATGGGAACACTTAAGCATTTGTAGTTGGAATATGAGTTACCTATCCTTTATTCAGACTAGGAGAAATAGGGTTTCACTTACTACATAGTAGGCTAAATATGGTTTCACTTATCATTATAGCAGGTGAAATATTAGCGTTTTAACCTTATAGTAGGAGAAATATGACGATGATTTATTGAAAGTCGGTATAGGGTAATTTTTTCATAGTAGGTGGAATATGGGATTATTGTAGTAGGTGAAATATGAGTTTGCTTATCTCATAGTAGGTGATACATGGGGTCGCATATTTGATAATTATTAAAATTGGGCAATTATTTTATAGTAGGTGAAATATGAAGTCACTTTTTCATAGTAGGTGAAATATGGGATTATGGTAGTAGGTGAAATATGAGATTGTTTACATGAACGTTCTAACCTTATAGTAGGAGTAATATCACGATGATTCATTGATATTAGGTGAAATATGGAAATAATAAATCAAGTGTGTTGTATGTTATATGATAGTTGTCAAAATGTAGAATCTCTTCTGTAAGTGTAGGTGACATATGAAATCTTTTTTTAACATAGGTGAGGTATTGGCATTTTTTGATGTAATTTGAAAGTAGAATTTTGTTAGTCCTTTGCGTAATAATCCTGTACAACAACACTGTATGCCAACCAAACAGAACAGTTTTGGTTTGCATGTGTATTTCACACACACACATTACAATACCACACAATAACAACTACTACTCCCACAACCACCACAACAACAACCACTACCAATAAAAATAACCACCATATTTTCCTGAAAAAAAACTCTTCAATAAGATAATATATCGAAATAATAAAAATGGGAAATGGCCCACCTATATGACCCATTTCCACCAAAAACGTCCTTATTTCTCTCTTTTGAACTTTACGTACCCCTTCTCTCTTAACTAATACAAAGTGAAACCAAAAAAAGTTTTAATTATTGGCACAGATCTTATATTTATATAACAAACAAAAAATATTATCATATTTATATATATCTACTTAACTACTTACCATAAATGAATAATGTAATGCTAAAACCAGAGAATGATGTATTGATTGAATGATATCATGTAATGTGATGCAAAACAAAAAAAAAAACTCATAACTCATCACTGAACCTCCTCCCGTTCCATAGAGAATGGGGTTGAGTTTTGAAACGAAAAACCTAGAATAGAAATACATCAACGAAATTATTTTTAGCAGAAAAGATTTTTAATTTGAAAACTAGTTTATTGTTTTGAATTATCATTTTTTTTTAATTTTGAATTTTCAATTATAAGTTGTGTGTGTACGAGATTATTATTATTAATTATCATTGGATTGAATGAGTACGAAATAATCGTAAATGAAAACAACAACCGGATCACCAGCAAATATTTAGTATTATTATTATTGTGATTATGATTATGATTGTATTTAATTTTACATTCAACTATTATGTTTCATTTTGTATGTGTTTTTTCTCTTTCTTCCACCCCATATTTTCTACCATTCTTTACTTACAGTGGCGACCACAAGCAATAGTATTTGAAATAGTTACAGATAAAAAATTCGATATTATAATTATGTTGTTTATTGGCCTAAACATGTTTACCATGACCCTCGATCGTTACGATGCATCCGAGGCATACAATAATGTCCTCGATAAACTCAATGGGATATTCGTAGTTATTTTCAGTGGCGAATGTCTATTAAAAATATTCGCTTTACGATATCACTATTTCAAAGAGCCATGGAATTTATTTGATGTAGTAGTTGTCATTTTATCCATCTTAGGTAAGTAACAAACCAACAAAAAAAGCAATGCCGACTTTCTACCAAAAAAAATAATAATTACACAACAGGCAGTCAGTCAGCAAAAGAAAAAACAACCTAAAATCAGCCTTCAAATTCAATTTTTAAAAAAAATCAATACTAGTAACTGTTAATTAATTTGTGTTATTGTTGTTTTCCAAAAAAAACTATATTTTGTATATTTGATGTAAACCACTTTAAAAAATAATCCCCTTTAGTCCAAACCCCCCTTTCCACCCAAAACAAGCAATATTAAAAATACTAAATGTGTATATAAAAGAAAACACTTATTGTTTTGTTTTAGTATTTTGGCTTAAGGCATATAAGGTCCATTTCCAATTGTCTCCCCCGGCTTAATAATAATACCATATTGTGGAGAGCACAATTTGATGGCTTTATAGGGCCTTAAGTTTATATGTATGTGTTGTAACTAAATGTTGTTGAATGTAACACCCTTCTACTATTCCTAACAAAAAAAATCAAAAACTAAAACTTAATGTTGTGCTTAAGTATTAAAATCAACATATTCCATATTTGTATATGTTTATTTGTGTTAATTGTTTAATAACATTATGTGTTGCTTTAATGTTGTGTTGTTTTTTAATTATTTTTATTTTAGTTATCAGATTTTCTGATTTACCCTCCCATTAATTACACTTTCGATTCAGAGGACCAGTAATAACACTGAATATGGGGTCATTTTTTTCATAGTAGGTGGAATATGGGATTATTGTAGTAGGTGAAATACGAGGCTGTTTATCTCATAATAGGTGATACATGGGGTCGCATATTTAATAATTATTAAAATTGGGGAATTATTTTGTAGTAGGTGAAATATGGGGTGATTTTCTCGTAGTAGGTGGAATATGGGATTATTTTAGTAGGTGAAATATGATGTTGTTTATCTCATAGTAGGTGATACATGGGTTCGGATATTTAATAGTTAATAAAATTGGGCAATTATTTTATAGTAGGTGAAATATGGGGTTATTGTTACATAGTAGGTGTAATATAGGATTTTTGTAGTAGGTGAAATATAAGGTTACTTATCTCATGGTCATATTTAATATAGTTAATAAAATTATGCAATTATTTTAGAGTAGATGAAATAAGGGGTAATTTTTTGTTGTAGGTGGAATATGGGATTATGATAGTAGGTGAAATATGGGGTTGCGTATTTCATGGGCATATTTAATAGTTAATAAAATTGGGCGATTATTTTATAGTAGGTAAAATATGGGGTCACTTTTTCACAGTAGTTGGAATATTCTGTCACTCTTTCATAGTAGGTGGAACATGGGATTATTTTAGTAGGTGAAATATGATGTTGCTTATTTCATAGTAGGTTATACATCTGGTCGCATATTTAATAGTTAATAAAATTGGACAATTATTTTATAGTAGTTGAAATATGGGGTCACTTTTTTCATAGTAGGTGGAATATGGGATTATTGTTGTAGGTAAAATATGAGGCTTATCTCGTAGTAGGTGATACAAGGGTTCGGATATTTAATAGTTAATAAAATTGGGCAATTATTTTATAGTAGGTGAAATGTGGGATCACTTTTTCACAGTAGGTGGAATATGGAATTATGGTTGTTGGTAATATGGGGTCTTAATTAGAATCTAAATATAAAATGTCTTACTTTATAGTAGGTGAAATATGAATTTCTTTTTTCAAAGAATGTGAACTATTTTTAGCTTCAATTATAGAAGATGAGACATGGCTACGCTTATTTTATAGTAGGTAGAATATGGGTTTCATTTCGTTCTTATAATGCAATTATTAAAATGTCATACTTTATATTAAATGATATGTGGGGCAAGTTATTTTATTGTAGGTGAAAAGTCTGTGATGTCATAGTAGGTGATATATGCGTTCGTTTATTTCATAGTAGATTCAATTAGTTCGATTACTTTATAGTAAGGGTAATGTGTACTGGTTTATCTTATAGTAGGTGAAATGTGAGAACGACTTTGTTATTTCATAGCAGGTAAAATATATGTTGCTTATTTCATAGTAATTAAAATATGTGGACAATTTCCTTGCAATAAATTAAATAGATATATTTTTATAATAGTTAAAATATATGGTCCCTTATGCCATAGTAGGTGAAATATGAAAACATTTGCATCACAGTAGGCGATGTATGGGGTCGTTTATTCAATAGTAGATTAAATTGGGTCGCTTATTTACAGTAGGTGAAGTATGGGATCTCCTTTACGATAGTAGGTGAAATATGGGAACGATTTTGATATAATAATTTAAATATAAAATTCCATACTTTCTGGTAGGTGATATATGGGAATGCTTTTTTCATAGTAGGTGATATATGGCAGCATTTATTTCACATTATACTAAGTTAGGTCGTTTATTTAATAGCAGGTGGAATATGGGATCAATTAACTATAAAATGCCCTAAAATATAGTAGGAGAAATATGAGGCTGCATTTACAATAGCAGCTGATATATGGTTATTGTGATTTCTAATATTTTATTTGTTAAATATAATTTTTTATAAAATATTACTGTAAGAACTGGTCCTCTCTTAAAATATTGCTTTATCATTGTTGTTGTATTAAAAAATATCGCTAATTACCATTTATATTTTTGTTGTCTAACAAATATATATATATATATACACATAAATATGTAATTATTTCCTTAAAAATTATTTTTTTTATTTAAAGAAAACATTATATAAACCAGCTTTTTTATTTTCCATATTTAAAGAATAAGCTTTTTGGGACTATATTATTCCATATAACTTGTGTACACATTAATTGTTGTAATTTTTTTTCAAGATAGCTTCACAAATAGTTTCAAAATTCTCTAAAACTTTAATATAATAATTGTATAATTGTTGTATAATTTTGATTTGATATAAATTTCATAATAAGTCCCCTTAAAAATTTTTGTGTACAAAAGATATCAATCCTTGCTTATTAAAGTATATATTTTTTTCTCATAAATTGTTGATATATATACTCCCCTCCATTAAATGCGTACTTTGAGTCAATGATGTTCAATCTCTTTTTGTGTTGTGTGTATAAGTAATTTTGTCTAATGTCTATGTTATATTTTAAATATATGTAACGCTGTCTATCCTTGTATTTATTTTTTGTATAAGTCTTCTGAAATATATAAAATTTTTTTCCAGTAGTTATATTAATAATATATAAGAAGTAAACCTTAAAACCTGGGCTTCGTATTTTCTATAAATCATAAAATTTCAGCTATTTTTTAATTATAATATAAAAATTAAAATAATATTTCAATATCTAACGCTATATTTCCTTATAACTTAGTGAAAATATATATATATATATATATATACTTCTTTTAGTAGATATAGTAAAAAAAATGATATCGTAAAAAAGGCAAACGCTGGACTTAGTTTCTCTATTAATTATACATTTTCCTGTGTCATAAAAAAATAATTCTATTATATATTTGTTGGTATATACAAAAATTTTGCAAAAAATCTCTTTTTAATAGATATTATAAAATTCTTTTTTAGACCAGATAACATAGAAAAAATTATTGAAATTGTATTTAGAAACGCTTTTAGCACCAAGTATAGCTACATATTCTAAAAATAATAATCTTCCATAATAAACCTAGACAATAATATATTTAATATTAATTTTCTTATCTACAAAAATATATTAAAGCAGTTAAATCTCTCAGTTTTAAGCTAATAAAGTTTTTGAACATTCCTTTATTTAATCTTAATAACAATTTTACATTGGGCGCCATTTATATGAAAATAGCGTAATATTACATTACATTTTTCTATTTATTCTTGTATTCACAATAGACACCAATAACTTCTAAAAAAATAGTATTTTTTATTACATATAGAAAGTTAAAAAAAACGCTTCCTTACATAACAAATGTGAAAGTAATTATCATAGTCAGTTTCAATAAAATTTAGGTAAAAAATTTATTTTAATTATTGTAGTGTGAAACAATTTTAGTTAAAAAAAATATAAACACTTCCCAATTTTTCAGAACTATTATCCAATAGTTTAGTTTTCTTGAAGCACACATAATATCTACCAAAATTGGCACCATTTATCGGAAAAAAATTATTGGATCATAACCTTAAATCGAATGAATTAGAACAATTCAAAAAAATACACAAATATTGGCTTGACTGAACACCATAAGATTTTTGGAGAAATTTGCACTTAAATACTATTATGTAATCTTGCACTAGCTTTCCTACGGATATAACTGACCATTTTATAAATTAAATTAAACATAATACTATTCAAAGGCGACTATATTATTTATATTAATTATATATAATTTTAATGTATAAGGCATTAAATATATTAAAAAATAATGATGTGAAGAAAGGAAAACTCTATTAGCAAATTATACGTTGGGCGCCATACTTACCGATCATGTTATGGCGATCTCTTCGATTAACAGAAATGTTTTTACAAAACACTTTCCCATAAATAGCCTACTACTTTACCCAAGGATTTAATAGAGAACGATCAGAGAAAAGTGCAGGTTTACTTTCTGAATGTGAAAAAAGACGACGAAAAATTATTACCACCCATTTTTTTACAATGAAAGAGTAGGTGTTATATGGGTTTGTTTATTTCATAGTATGTTAAATAGGTCGGATTATTTTATAATAGGTGAAATATATGTTTAAATATAAAATGTCCTCCTACATATTAGGTGAAATATGGGGTCACTAATTTCATAGTAGGTGGTATATGGGGACACTAATTTCATAGTAGGAGTCGCTTATAACATAGTAGGTGGTATATGGGTTCCTTTATATTAGTTGTAGTCGGATTATTTTATAGTAGGTGAAATATATGTTTAAATATAAAATGTCCTCCTACATGTTAGGTGAAATAGAATTTCATAGTAGGTGGAATATGGGGACACTAATTTCATTGTAGGAGTCGCTTATAACATAGTAGGTGATATATGGGTTCCTTTATATTAGTTGTAG